CATTTAACTGAAGAGACATACAGATAGTAAATAAAACAAAAAAAAAAAACATTGAATTTTATTATTTTGTAGGAAATGCAAAGCTACTACAACAACGTTTCAGTACCCACCTGTGAGAAATGGTAAGGTCCATAAGCGCTGCACTCTGCAGGATGAGGAAGGCAGAGCGCAAGGTGGAACTCTGCCAGGGCAAAGCAGGGAAACCTTGTCTCAAACTAAAGGAAAAAATAAGCTGAGTGAGATGGCACATGCCCGTAATCTTAGCATTTGGGAGGCGGAGGCAAAGAGATCACCAAGAGTTTGAGGCTATTCTGGGCTACTTAATGAGTTAAAGGCCAGCCTGATCTGCATATTGAAGCTGTCTTGACACACAATGAAACAAAACCAAACCATAGGGCTGGATATAGTTTACAACTGTCTAATAATTGTATAAATGATCTTAGTACTATTATAAGACTATGGTCAGGTTATATGCAAGTAATAACTTTGAACCATTCTTTTTGATACATGTTTATTCTTGAATTATATTGACAAAAATTGCCAAATGAAAATAAAATAATAGGGAAGAAGAATACTTTTGTCATCTTTCATTTTATTAAGAATTTATCTAGGGAAAAAAAAAGAATTTATCTAGGGGCTGGGGAGATAGCTCAGTAGAATAAGCACCTGCCTGGCAAGTGCAGGGTCCTGAGTTCAATCCCTGGTACTGGAAAAAAAAAAGAATTTATCTAGTATTTAGTTTTAAGTAGATACATATTTCGCTAGCATTTATATGCAAATTTAATTTAAATTTATTCTAAATGTGTGAAATATACAATATTAGCATTTTGCATAGATAAAACTGCAGATTAAATAAAATGTCAGTTACAAAAGCATGACTAAAACCTAGAATTCTTAGCTCTCTGTTCAATGTAATGTTTTCCTGACAACATGGAATTAAGGACTGTATCCTAAATCATGTCAGGCAATGAAGGCAGAGCTAGCACTGTTGAACCTCTGTGACATTCCAGGTATTCTACATACAATATATTCTCACATTTATCCCTCTTAGTAGTCTTGTCAGACATATTGATCCCATTATGTGAATTAGAAATTTAAAGTTTAATTAGGTAGTTTCTGCAAGGCTATATTACTGAGTCAGGATATAAACTCTGATTACTCTGACCCAAAGCCCATGCCTTCCCTTTGAGCAGAAGTATGGAATGAGAGAAAAAGAATGAAGACTTCCAAGGAATAGGAAGGCAAATGGAAAGCTATGAGGTTGATGGGACATTGTGATTCTCTTTGTCTCATGTAATTCCCCTGATAAGTTTCTGTCCTGAGTTTCTCAAACTTTCCCTTTCTTTATCTTATAAACCCAGTCTTGCCTTCCCAGTCTTGTATCTTTCAGTCTCTTGGGATTTTACTTGAGAACCATCCCCAAGCATCAGGGGGAGGAGGAGAAAATAAGGACTAAAGGCAGGAGGTGCACGATAAAGGAATCCTTTCTAGCTTGGCAGAGTTTCCTGGCTATGGAAGCAAGGGAAGGGGAAATTCCCATACCTTGTTTCTTTGTCCAGTTGTCTTTTACATGCACTCCCTAAATCCCTCTCTAACCCACCTAGCCAACTCAGGAGAAACCTGATGAGTCAATGAAATCTGGAAAACAAAGTGAGTAGATTCTATTATCTGCTAATTTCTCTCAACTGATCAATTCTTCAATGCTTTCTTTATTTATGTCCAATGAATTCATTTTCCTATTCCTCTCTACACCTACTGAACCTCAAACCCCTATCAATATTTGGTCTATACCTGGTCTATTCTGTCAACACTTAAACCACCATCACTGTCTTTATCTTTTCTGCTCACATTTGGTCCTTTAGACCTACACTGTCTACCCATCCTACATTCTTTATGATCTTCCATTCCTTAGTCTGTCAAATTTTCTGCCAAATCTATTTAGATTCTCTGTTGACAAGGATTTCCACCCAAATCTCTTTTCACATTCTTCCTTCACTACATTGCCTTCCTATCATCTGAAATTTATTCATTATTCCCATGTCATAATTTCCTCCACTTTCATAGCCCATCCATCTGTCCATCCATCCATCCATCCATCTGTCCATCCATCCATCCATCCATCCATCCATCCATCCATCCATCCATCCAGACATTGTTATACTTTTTTTACTCAGCAATGAATGCAGGTCTTTCAAAAGTAAATTAAGAAGAAGGAGAGAAAGTTAAGCCAGATAATAATCTATATCTGCAAAGTATGGGTAGTTTTGGAGGGGTGATAAGTAGACCTGAAACATGAAAGATAAATGAGAATTTTTGGAAGCTAGGTGGGCATTTACATGAACAGAAGAATATGTGCCAAATCACAGAATGAGAGAACATCTTAGCATGTTTGAAAAAAGGACAGTGGACAATTACCTGATCCATGTGGAAGATTTAAAAGAAAATACATTTTGATACTTTACTGGAGGAGTTTGTGTGTGTTCTTTAAAATTGAATACTCTTGTGGTCAGGAATTCTACATAAATGTCACTCTAGAAATAAGTAGAGGTTAGACTGATGACAATTCAGACTTACGTAAGAAGGATCAAGTAAAAGTGTGCTCAAATAACTAAGTAAAGAAATAGTTAGAACATGGTATAAGGGACTAGTGGGAAGGTAATACAAATAGTACAGGAAAAAGGGACAGACAGGAGAGATAATTAAAGAAACAGTTTAGTTAGGATTTGAAGTATCTGTGGGTGAGATATATAGTGGGAGGTGGGTGAGTATAAAAGATCAAGGTAACTTCCAGATCTTGACATGGAAAATAAGCCCAATTTGATATAACAGAATACTAGGCTTTGAAAATATTTTCTAGCTATATTGTATTTGGGAAACCTATATGACATTCAAGGGTTATGTGCACTCCTTGCTAATTCCACTTCACCTACATAATGCCTCCTTGCTAATTCCACCTCACCTACATAACGCCTCATTGATAGAGAGGTAGCAATTATAGCAGTGATGGAAGAGCTAAAATGATGTACAGGCACTCCCAGCTTCCATGGGTGCAGCAGAGAGGAACCTCACCCAACCTGCGAAGGAGAGAAGATGGGGAGAAGGGTGATTACTGTCTCTGAGAAGAGATAGTATCTAAGTCACAACTTGAAGGCTACATAGGAATACATGTTCATGGAGACTGCAGGATAAACAGAGCAATGAGGTGACACATGTGTGTGCTCAGAGGTTTGGGGTGTCACATACAAATGTGGACTGTTGCAGCAGGTAAGCTTTTGGTGAAAGTGGTAGTAGATCTTGAAGCACTTATAGACTTTGTTAAACAGTTTGACCATTTTATGTAGGCAATGAGGAGCTATGAATAGGTTTTTACATAGAGGAGAAAAATAATTTTATTTGAGCATTTGGAGAGAGACCATTTATTGGTATAGGCATCACTTAGGAGTTCAGATGTAGAAGGTTAATATTTTTAACATGTACAGAGCACCAGGTATGAAGGTAGAAAGGATCACAAGATCAATGTAAAATTCCAAGCACAAAGGACAAAAAGCAGGAAGGAATTAAGGAGAAAGTTTCAAGGTTAAGGTCATGGAGGAAAATTATATTTGAGGTTCTCCTTTATGAGGCTGTGTGTTGTAGAAACAGCAGCTTAAGCTTTGAGGTGTGAGAATAAGATATTTCACTACCACTACATAAGGAACTCTTTAAAGATCCTTCTTAAGATTTTTTTTTTGACTATGACTCTTAGCCTATTTTCTAAACCACAAGTTATCTACCAAAAATTTCTAAACAAATAGTTCTTGATTGGTCCTACCTCCTTGTCCCTTCAGTCTTCACTCTATGACTGTGTAGGACACAGAGTGGAATTAACCCTTTGTATCAAAAACTGTGTGAAAATGCCAATCTCTATTCCATATTAGATCTAGAAATGCACTTAAATTTTAAAAGGGAAAATTTGATCTCTGATATCAAGATAAAAAGGGTGTTCTATTAAATGGGTTAACCTTCATGATTAAAAAAATGTGCTATACTTCCATTCTTAGAGCTTAGAACAACCTCAGAACTGACTGGATTTTTAGTCTTTCTTTCACCCAAAAGTCACTTTCTAATTTGATTTTCAGGTTGATCCCAGATCCTTTTTTAAAATGCTAGGGTTTTGGAATTTTCTTCCTATAGTTAATATGACCTTTAGTGTTCTGTATTTGAAGTACCATGAATGTTTCACTAATATGAATTCAAGACATATCTTATAGTTCATCCTTCATGTCACCTGATTTGTTTCGAACTTCTGAGACTCTGCTTTCCTAATTCCACTTCTTACAATCTATTTGATATCATATGAATCACTTAACTTCTCTATAACTCAGTTGTTCCTTAGGTGCTAAGTGAGGCTGCTACCAGTACTAACTCAGGGTTGCTGTTGAAGATCAAGAAGATCAAGTTAATTAATACGCCCAACATTTTAGAACAATGTCTCAAATAATAATGCATAGTAGTTATGTTATACATGGTTGTTATCTCTCCATTTCCTGAAAAGTCATGATCTATCTTATGAATGAACAACTCATTTTTGAAAGACCAGAGTGCCTTAATCTATATCTATATCTATATCTATATCTATATCTATATCTATATCTATATCTAATCTATATCTTTTGCATATGAAAATTTATTACTGTAATGTTTTTACTATAAAAAGTAATGAATCTTTCCTTCTTGCCTTTGTATAAGGGCAAAAAAGAGATATTCAGACCAACTAGTGCCACTTTTCTTAGTGTTTCTTAATAAATGCTTTCCTAAGGACCAGAAAAGACATTATTTCCAATTGAAAGACATTTATTTTTGTCCATGTTTGCTTAGATAATTAATCACCTCAATGTTCAATTACATTCACTAAATATATTTTTCCTATCAACATATACTCCTAAGACACTAGGTTCTTGCTCCTGCCTCCTAAAACATCCACTATCATCTCCTGAGGTGCAGTGGACAAGATTGCTGCTATGGAGCGGACGAACCACAGTGGCAGAGTGAGTGAGTTTGTGTTGCTGGGATTCCCAGCTCCCGTGGCAGTGCGGGCACTACTGTTTTCCCTCTCTTTTCTGGCCTATGTGTTGGTGCTGACTGAGAATGGACTCATCATCATGGCAATCAGGAGCCACCCCACCCTCCACAAACCCATGTATTTCTTTCTGGCTAATATGTCCTTCTTGGAGATCTGGTATGTCACTGTCACTATTCCCAAAATGCTTGCTGGGTTCATTGGGTCCAAGAAGCAAAATGGACAGCTAATCTCCTTTGAGGGCTGCATGACACAGCTTTACTTTTTCCTGGGCTTGGGCTGCACTGAGTGCGTCCTTCTTGCTGTTATGGCCTATGATCGTTATGTGGCCATCTGTCACCCTCTCCATTACTCTGTTATTGTCAGTGGCCGGCTGTGTGTGCAGCTGGCAGCTGGCTCCTGGGCTGGAGGCTTTGGGATCTCCATGGTCAAAGTTTTTCTTATTTCTCGCCTCTCTTACTGTGGCCCCAACATCATCAACCACTTTTTCTGTGACGTCTCCCCACTGCTCAACCTCTCATGCACTGACATGTCCACAGCAGAGCTCACTGACTTTATTCTGGCTATTTTTATACTGCTGGGGCCACTTTCTGTCACTGGGGCTTCCTACATGGCCATTACTGGTGCTGTCATGCGCATCCCTTCAGCGGCTGGACGCCACAAAGCTTTTTCTACCTGCGCCTCTCACCTCACTGTTGTGATCATCTTCTATGCAGCCAGTATCTTCATCTATGCTCGGCCTAAGGCACTTTCAGCTTTTGATACCAACAAGCTGGTCTCTGTACTCTATGCTGTCATCGTACCGTTGCTCAATCCCATTATTTACTGCTTGCGTAACCAAGAGGTTAAAAAAGCCCTACGCCGTACTTTGTACCTTTACCAAGGCCAGGATGCTAACTTCAAGAACTCTGGGAGGGACAGGTAGGTATGAGGTATAGGTCTAATAAAAAACTATTAAATTTGAGATCAATGTCTTCTATGAAGCCAATGAAGTTCTTGGGGCCTAAATTAGGCACTAAAGTTCCAAAGATGCTTCCTATGATTAGTCTGGGAAGAAGAAGGGTGGATTTCAACCTAGAAGTTGGATTTCTGCAGAACATAGCCATAAACTATAGGACAAAGGCTGGCCCAGTATTTTTTTTAGCACTATTATGATTTACACAGACTCAGTTCCTTTCAAGGAAGCACAGCCTTCATTAATGAAAAGCAACTCAGGACTTTTTTTTTTTTTTAACATGTATTTGGTACAGGGCCTCACTACACAAATCAGACTCGTAGTGATCCTCCTGCTTTCAGCCTAACCAGCACTGGAATTGCAGGTGTACGCCGCCATGCCCGGACTCTGTCGCCAGCTCAGAACATCCAGTGGTGGGGTTGGTACAGCATGCGGTACTGGAGATTGAACCCTGGTCCCTGCGCTTGCCTAGGCAGGCACTTAGTCTGTTGAGCTGTATTGCTGGCCCTTCAACTGGAGACTTCTTGATGAGATCTCTTCTAGACGTAGGCCACTGACTATAGCTTATGAGTTAACTGATATGCAGCTGATGGTCATTCTGATATGAGTTACAAAGAAAGAAGGTAAGAGATTAAGAATTTTTTGTGTTGACAATTTATCACCTCTTAGACAACAAGACTTTCTGGCTTTCTTTATGAGTGTTAATGTTCACATTGAATTAGTGAGTAAATGCAATTGTTAACTTAGTCTTCTATCTCCTTAATTATGATTATACAGATCATAGAGACGCAATCACATTTGCTTACAGATCATTTTATTACCATGGCTTAGAATAGTATTTAAGGCTGAGGAGATAAAGAGAGCTCAGTAGAATAAGCACCTGCCTGGCAAGTGCAGGGTCCTGAGTTCAATCCCCAGCACTGAAAAAAAAGTATCTAGCACATGATGACTATGAATAAATATAATTAATGAATATGGTGTGGAGCCACCTAGGCAAGACCTATGTGCCCCACCTGCAGACAGGGCTGGCAAATGGGTGAACCAATCCCCTCACAAGTAGTAGTACAAGGAGAGGTACAAATTGGCTCAAGAATTGGTACACAGTGCTAGAAGAATATTGGGCAATTTGTATGTCCAATCCTAAAAAATGCTGATAGTCCAGATTTTAAAATTTGTGTAAATATGTTTTTGTGTGTAATGACAAAAACTTGAAAATATGCTTATCTTCCAGGCATTGTTTAAGAAAATTAAAGTCCTTACATGAAGTGGTATATAATGAAGTTGTTAAAATAATATGATCTAAATAGGGTTAATGACAGAAAATAGTAAATGAAAATATAAGATCATGTAACAGTGTCAAAAAAACACTTATATGTTTGTTTGTGTGATTAAGGTTTAGAGTGAATTTGATTAAATTGTTAGGTGTAACTATGTAATGAATCTGATCCTCTCACCAATGGAATTATATTATCAATCATTGTTGCTAACATTTTTATTTAAGTAAATATTTTAGTGAAACTATACACAATTTTATTTGACTGCTCAGACAAATAGTTAAAGGTTATGTCAGTATAATTTGCAAGATTTTAGCTCTTTATTTCTCCCAAGATCCAGAACTCTGAAGACAATGAGGCTCTTTTCTCTAGATGTGGCATCCAGCTGTTGTTGCCTATTTTTCTATAGTTTTTTGTTACTTGATAAAGTTTGTGAAGGTCTACCACCAAGGACATAAAGCATTATTTGATGGTTTATAGTTACTTAAATATGTGTATATATATTATATTGCTTTGTCATATATATATGCAAGTGATATAACTACATAAGTATCTTGTTATGTTTATATATAAAGTTATATAGAGTATAAAGCTCTTATATAAAGTTCATCAAAAGTCTATGTGCTAATTGTCTTTAAAGAATAAGTTTCTAGACCCATTTCTGTAACCATACACTAAACTAAAGTAAAAATAGATCAAAGATCTAAGTATTAAAATAGAAACATTTGATCTACAGAAAGAGAAAGTAGGTAGAAATTTTGAAGATACAGGGGTAGGCAGAGAGTTCATGAACAATAACTAAACTGCAGAACAAATACTTCAAAGAATCAACAACTGGGATCACATCCTATTAAAAAGTTTTTTCATGTCAAAAGAAATTATCAACAAAGTGAAAAGAAATCATACAAATTGGGAAAATATTTCAGCTAAATTTCCCTCAGCCAAAGAACTTCTATCTAGAACATAAAACAAATTTTAAAAAATCAGGCCCCCATATCCAAAGGCCCAATCTAAAAGTGAGCATCTGAGGTGAACACATACTCTTCAGATGAGGAAATACAAATGACAAATAAATATATAAAAAAAATGTTTAACAGCATAGTTCATTTGAAGAATGAAAATTAAAAATACACTGAGATTCCATGTCACCCCAGAAAGAATGGTTATCATCAGGAAATCAACTAATAACAAATACTGGAGGGGCTGCTTGAAGAAAGGAACTCTTCACTATTAGTGGGAGTGTAGACTGGAACAACTTCTGTGGAAATCAGTGTGGAGATTCCTCAAAAAACGAGGATTCAAGTCTGGATGTGGTAGCACATGCCTGTAACCCAGCTGGGGAGGCTGAAAACAGGAAGATCACCATGAGTCCGAGATGTGTAGTGAGTCCCTGTACCAAATACATTTAAAAAATATGATTAGAGGTCATGTTCAATTCTGCTGCTCCCCTTCTGAGTATTTTTCCAGAAAAGCTGTCAACATCGTATCAGAATAATATATGTGCACCCATGGTTATAGCAGCACAGTTTGTCATAGCTAAATTTTGGAAGAACTCAAATGCCCATCAACTGAGTGATGGATAAAAAAGATATAGTATTTTTATCCAATGGTGTATTCCTCAGTTATAAAGAAAAATAAATCAAGGCTTTTATAGGTAACTACCTGCAAGTAGAGACAAAACTCAAAAGTGAAATACATCAGATCTGCATGTGCAAACATCATATTTTCTTCTTAGTGTAAGAACCTGAAAGAGTACGTAAAATTTGAAGGGTATAACAGATACTGTGAAAGGGCAAGAAACTGCTCAAAAGGAAAGAACAACTGGGATAAGGGACAGGAGAAAAGAAAAAAAAAAGGAAGGAAAAAAATATATACACAAAGTAGTTAAGATAATTCTACTACTAGTTTCTATTGCTTTAGTAAAAGAAACAGTTAATTATTTTTTCCA